TTGACATTAGCTACCTTTGATGATGAAAAAAATTAAAAGAAATAGAAAGAAGTAAAGCTTCATTATCGGTATATTTGTACGAATGCGGATAACAGGAAAATGTGTTAGTAACATGTTGGTTCTTTATTTTAAACGATATATTTAATTTCTGCTAAATAATACTGTTCGATACTAAAAGATATTACAAATGAAATAATTAAACATACAAAATGTATATACAAAAATATAATGCTATTATCTTAAACATAAAACTAAGTCAATAAAAAAGAATAACATTAATCCATTTGAGATTCCACTTTACAGAAAATCGTGTTTAGAAATATAACGATAAACACAAGACAATTATGAAGCATAATTAGATCATTAATCCTTTAATTTTCAATGTTATAAAAAAATGTATACCATATTTCTAGATAAAAGAAATATATGTTTTCTTTTTATTGCGCATGTAAAGATAAATATCATGAATATTATAAAATATTATTTTATTATCTGAAATCTTTCTTATCCAAATAATGATGTATCCCAATTAATTAGTATAATTAAGGTTCTGTTGTATTTATAATATTTATTTCTGTAATAACACACTATAACGCACAATATCTATGTTTGGTATAAAATACTTGAGTGCATTTCAAGATAATCATGAAGTTTGTTAGATCGTTATTAGAAAGTAAAATTTTCTTGAGTATTACTGGAATGAATAGAATAGAGAGAATAATGGAGAAAGATATAAGGAAAGAAAAATAGGAAGGGAGAGGAGGGTATTGAAGGAGACTCTAAAACGTGACTGAATGCATAAGATCATTATGCATTCGGCTTGCCTTCGTGAAAGACGACGTTGATTATCGCCACCTTCGTTTACAGCTGTTAAGTCGAGGCATTGTTTCGAAACATCTTCTTACCTTTCATCGAGGAAGAAAACAAACACGCTACCCTGCGCTTTCACGCTTTGACGATCATTCGAATTTTTGTTTAAAAAAAAAAAAAAAAAAATAAAAAAATAAAAAACAATAAAACAAACAAATTGTCAGTTTCTACAATTAAGTGAGGTAATGGAAAACGCGTTAAACAAAAAAGAAAGAAGAAAAAGATTAAGAAGAACATTTTTTAACGAAAGATTTTGTAATTAAACGTTTGTTTGTAAAAGCTTATTTTAAGCTTATTATATTATATTCCCAAGTTATTGTATATAATAATTTACAATTATAAATAAAATTATATATTATATTTATATATTATTGCGCGCGCATATAATTGGATTGTTATTTTCTACAAGAGACCCGTAAATCTATTTAACCAACATAAAATTAAATACGAAACTTTTCTTCGATGGGATTCTGTAAAAAAAAGATCTTGTACTTATAAATATTTAAATTACATGTACATTAATTTTTGGATTAAAAAAGAGAGAGAGAGAGAAAAAGAAAAAAGAGAACAACGTTATATTTATTGTGCTCCTCGTGCATATTTTGGATAGAAAATTTGGATATTTCTTTTTTACCGAGAAAATTTTAAACAAAACTTTAATGCATCATTGTAACCTAACTATTTTACTCCGAAATTATGTAATCTGCTTTCATCGTATGTATTATATATATACAAATATTATTGAATAGAATTATTTTTATTTTAACGAAAAATACAAAATTCTTAAAAACAAATTAAAAGATGAAAAATAGAACAAAAATCATGTTGAAATTTAATAGAAAAAGGTGAATCCTTGAAATTTGGCTCGTGCTATAAAAATCTAATGTCGTTGTTAAGCGTATCGGTTGGAGAAGAAGGAACATCGTAAAATGTAACCGGCAGGTCGACTAGCATCACCGTCAAATGGTAGATACGATTTGTCAAATTAGAAAGAAAAGGGACTGAGAAAAAGAAATACATTGACAACTGGTCAACACGTGTTTCACACATTTAAGCTTAGGTCGAATTCTATGCATCCCTTTTTGGTAACTGTAATAACTACCAAAAACGTAGTTTTCATTAAGAAATAATTTTTTTCCCTACCCCGTATCATTTCAAACCATCTTCTTATGATACAAGCTAATTATAAACCCTTTTCTTTTTACTCGCGATAGAAAAGAAAACGAAAAAACCTACGAGTTCCTTTTATAATGAGGTAACTTAAATTCCAAATAGTTTTTTGTGACCGCTTAATCCTTTTAACGCTTGTTAAGAATTTGTATGTTAAATTTAATATATCTTCATATTACGAACATTAATTTTATATAAATTTATTTGTATTAAAAAATGTAACCGTTGATAAATTAGTACGTGTAAAATTATAATAATAATTGTAAGTAATTTATTATTCGACAAGAGAAAAGGGTAAGATAATTTGATTAAACTTGTATCATCAAAAGGTCACTTCGTACTTCACTTTAAGGAAACTTCACAAAGTGATATCGAAGCGTTCTTAGATGTACTCAAAACTCAAGGTTCGATTCTGTTTAATTAGATAGAACTACTAAGTTTATATTAACAAAACAAATTTTCTTCCAACAAGATATCGAACGTAAATACGCCTATCAATGTGAGATCGGAAGGAATGATTAAAAGAAGGAAGATTGAACGTAATATCAAAACAGGTACTCAAAACTCAAAATTCGATTTTGTTAAATAAAATGATTATAAAGTTTATATTGGTAAAACAAATTTTCTTAGAAATTTCCTTTCAACGAGATATCGAACATAAATACGATTATCAGTGGAAGACCGGAAAGAAATGATTAAAAGTAAGAAGATTGAACGTAGTATCATAAAGCGGTACTCAAAATTCAATATTCGATTTTATTAAATAAAATGATTATAAAGTTTATATTGATAGAATAAATTTTTTTTTAAATTTCCTTTCAACGAGATATCGAACATAAATACGACTATCAGTGGAAGACCGGAAAGAAATGATTAAGAGTAGGAAGATTGAACGTAATATCAAAAAACGGTACTCAAAATTCAATATTCAATTTTATTAAATAAAATGATTATAATATAAAGTTTCTATTAATAAAACAAACTTTCTTCGAAATTTCATTTCAACGAGGTATCGAATATATTATATTCGAACATAAAGAAGGCTACTGGTGGAAGACCAGAAGGAACTTTTACGATTAAACTAGTAAAAGGGAACCTGGCGGTGTCAGAAGGGTCGAACCCTTTTTTTCTCTAGTTAGAAAGAAACGTGCTAGTTTACGAAGGAAATACATCTCCGCGCTTCGTTTCCTTACGCACATGCGTAACAGACACGCAAGCTTGCACGCGCGCATCACTAACCTTACCTCAACAGAAATTCTCTATAGACTAACTCAAGCCACGCTGTCTTCTTTGCTTTCGTCTTCTTTGATCATTTAAGTATACCTACTACACATTATGTACCACCATTGTAACTTCACTTCACTTCACTTCACTTCCGCATAAACCGTGTCATACTTCTCCTAGAACTTTTATTTTATAGGTATCCCAGATAGAAATATATTATACATTCTATATACTAATTATATTTATTTTTTATTTATATTTTATTTATATTTTATATATTAATACATTATATATTATACATGTTAAATAATGAACAATTCATTCTGCAAGTTGTCTTAGTCCATTTTAATATTTTATTGTTGTTGTTGACTGTATTAACATCTACAATTGGAAGTTAACTGTCATAAAAAACATTTCACGAAAAAAAAGAAAAAATTGACTTGGGTAATTATCAAAATAACATGGCTCATATTTTAAGGTCGATATAAGAAATCCGAGCATTGTATAAAATGCTCAAGGGTCAATTTAGAACATATGATTAAGTTTGACCGTTGAGAAGCACATTAGATTTTTTCAGAATTGCGTCAAGGTTTTCTGAAAAAAGAAAATAAAATCTTGAAAAAACCCTGGCCTAATGTGACCCTTAAAACAACCAAACGGACCATATATTCCAGATTAACCAAAACCCTCTGGGCTTTCTATAGGTTGACTGTAAAATACATATATAATTATATTTATAAGAAAATTATATTACATTTATTTATTAAATAAATATATAATATACATTTCTTATATAATTTATTTTTTTTTTAATATAAATATTTCTATAATAAATACCTTCAAAATCGATTACAAATCAATCCTTCCTTTCGTGCTAAATAAAGAAACTTGATAATAATTATACATATGTATTATACGTATGATTAAATAAAAAAAAAAACCAATATAATAATGTATGTCTTATATAAAAAGTATCGTATAACGACCTTTCGTTTACCTACCTAAGTTAAAACCAAGAGTTCATATAATTTTCCAATAACTATGAAAATCGATAATTCGATATGCAGATTTTTTAGCACACTTTCATTTTTCTTAGCTTCTTTGAATAATAAAAAAAGATTAAATAATATCATCCCTTATATATATATATATCATATATCAAAAAAAAAATAAATACGTAACCATTGAAACATGATAAAAAAAAAATGAAAGTAAGCGATCAAAATCATTCTATTTCAAAATACATAACGAAGAATATAGAAACTGTAATAGTAGGTATGGCCTTGATTATCGAACATACTTACGTCTAATCTATTTCGTAATCGTATAAACCATTAAGATCTTCCTTTTATAGAAGCTTTTACCCTTTTATCTTCCCCTTCTTTACTTGTCGAAACTTTACGTCTCGATGCGTACCCCTCTTCATTTATTCTCTCCCTCTCTCTTTCTCTCTCTTTCTCACTTTTGTAGAGCCAAACGGTCTCGGTAAGGTCTCCTTCCATCCTTATTTATCTCGAAATAACGTTGCTGTGCGTATAGTGGCTTAGATGGGCGTTTCTTCGTACATTGCCAGATGCGTGGGTGGTGGCAGTGATATGTATGTGTACATGTAATCTGTGTGTGTAAGTGTGTGTATGGTGTGTAAGAGAAAAAGAGAGAGAGAGAGAGAAATACAGATGGAAAGAAAAAGAAAAATAAAAAGAAAGAGAGAAAGATAGAGAGAGAGTGAGAAAGTAAGTGAGAGAGAGAAAGATAAACGGAGAGAAAGAAAATGAGAGAAGAATAAGAGAAGGAGAGCACGAACACGGACGACGGTCACATGGCCACGTTCGAGTCTTCCTCTTCTTCTTCTGGCCCGACTGTCAGTATTCCGTGAAGTGTTGTGCCGTGCTTGCGTGCAGTGCCGTTTTCCTTCATCATTTAAACGACGACCCTGAAGACGAGCAGCTAGCTAATCGAATAATAACGTTTTAAACGTTGTTAATTTGTGTTCATTCGACTCGAGAAATCACCTTTGATTTTATCTCAGTTGGGATTAATAACGTTAGGAAGGACAGGTGTACGAACAATTGTGGATGTGTTGAGAAGGAGATAAAAAATTTAAAAAAAAAAAAAAAGAAAGAAAGAAAAAAATAAATTAGATTAGTAAAGGAATACAGATAATGATCCTGAGACGTTGACAGGTGAATATTAAAGGTGAGAAAGATAATTATATTCTAAATTGAATTGAATTTTTGGAACATCTGCCAGGAACGAGTAAAACTGTTTTTCTTTCGACGACGTTTCATTTGAATAAGTTCATTGAAAATTTGATTGGTAAATCTTACGATCGAATTATAAAATTGAGAGATCGATCGTTTTATTGGATAATTTGTGTGGTATAAAATATTAGGAATTTAATGAGATCGTATTTTTAAATAATTATAATTCATATATTGTTACGATTTAATATTATCGTATACTAGTGAATACAGTGTCTATTAAATGTTATACTGGCTAACTTGTGGTGGTTATTATTATCTTGAATATTTAAAGAACAAATCGTAAGCAAGATATGCGTCGTAGATCACGATCGAGTTTGACGATCATTAATCGTTTAATAGTAAATACAGATTTTTCGGTTAATCTAAATTCCGATACAAATCATTTCAATGATGATTCATTGAACAAACGATATAAATATTTATTAAGGAGAAATAATATTTCGTAAATATATATTACGATTATTTTGAGATATAATGTAAATCCTTTAAGTGTGGTGGATTTAAAATGACTGTGCTGATCAAATAAATTCTTGAAATTCTTTTACACGACACGTAGAAATTTAGTTTCAAGGAAGAAAACGCGACATAATGATTGTCGATGCGAGAACGATTCCCTCGAGAGATTCTTAAGAGATGCGCGAGTGAAAACAAATCGTTAGTCAGTGCTTAAAATAATAATTTGTTAGCCGTTTTCGAGGAAGAAACGAATTCTACGAAGGACGGAGCTCTAACACAAGTCGGATCAAAGTTTGCCCCCTGCCGATTTTCCAACACAAGTTTCAAGATTTTTTCACTAATATACTTAAAATCCCTAGACATTTCTTTCAATCGTATATACGTTACAGATCATTTATTTGTTTTTTTAATACAATTTTATTATATCGATTAATCAATTCATTTATTTTTGTAGATAACTTCGTAAAAGAAAAACGTCCGAGTCGTATATTTTATTGTAGACAAAATATACTACAATACTAATGGTAAATTCAAAAATATAAAAATATCCAAACAAATAATACTATCATTAAATAAAATAAATAGATAGATGAATTTATTCTATCAACAATATATATATATTTAAAAAAAATAAGTTAATAATTAATTTTATATTTTGCATCAATTACAATTCATTAATTTCTATATAGAACAAAATACAAAGTATAATATGATTTGTGTATCACTAATTATAATCTCAATATATTAGATAATATTACATAATAATAAATAACTGTAATAATAAAAATGAAAAACAAAAAGAAATGGAAAGAAAATAAGGGAGGGATAAAAAAAATAGAGAGAGAGAGAGAGAAAGAGAGAACAACGTTTACTTTCCACGTTTAGCGTTCCAGCGGGGAGAATATTTTTAGGATTGCCCATGTTGAGGAATCTGTACGAATATTCCATTAGGAATTAGGCAGGCAGCTCACCGCGTATATTAATAGATCGAACCTGACAGCCGAATCTGAGCAGACGCGAGGAGTGCGTCTTTCGTGTTTCGTACGACACGACGACGTGAAATCGTTCTTCTCTTCTTCTTCTTCTTCTTCAAACATCGCATAGCTTTCGAACGAAACCGATTCTATTCCTTTACTTTCATTCTATTCGTCAACTTTTCTCTAAACCTTTTTTTCCTTTTCGTTTCCTTTTTTACTTGTTTCCTTTCAACGCCTATTGCATTCCTAACTGGCGCCATTCGAGCTTTCAATACGTTTTTCGAACATCGAAAAAATCCAACGGCACAGGGATAAAAGTAAAAATAAAAATAAAAAAAGGAACTAGAGGAAAAAGCAAAATTGGAATGAATTTATTTCTTTAATTTTATATATTTAGTACGAAACGATTTGTTATGGAAAAAAAAAAAATTAAAAATTAACGAAATAGAAAATCGATAATTTGTATTCTTATACAAATAGAAATAGAATTTAAAATTAGAAGGAAGAGAATAATAAGATACGATAAATAACGTTAAAGAATTTCAACGTATGCCAATAAATTGTATCATTCGTGCATTTTATGCTTGGAATATTAATAAGTAATAAAAATAAAAAATAAAAAATAATATAAAGGTATTCGAACTGAAAAATGTTTTGAAGGATTGACACGTTCGCATCGTAGTTTTATTTCCTGGTTACCTTATCAAGCATCTGTCACGCTCATATGGAATCAATTATTTTTGTTTGTTTGTCATGATTTAGGAGCTCTTTAAAATAAGACGATTTAAAAAGATAAAAAAGGAAAAAAGGTAATTGAACGGTAATACAAAAATTAATTGGGTAAATTTGTCATTGGCGACACACTATTGAAACGAACGGGATACGAAAGTAAGACAAGTAAATCGTAAGAAGGTCGGGACGGGCGTTTAATCGAGCATATATAGACATCCAAATCGTGCCACGACGAACGGTGCCATAAGCGCAAATGCTTTTGTTACGTAAGACTCGAACAATGCTTGTAAAAATATGTGTTGAATATGCTTAAGCAAAAAATAAATCTTCTTTGGCTTAGGATCGAAGAAAAAATTAATTTCAAATTTATTCTTGTTTTATTGTGTTATCATTAAACGTTGCTTATCGTTAATTCGTTATTTTGAAGAAGAAAAAACGATCAAGTAAAGAAAAAAAAGGTTTATTTTTCTATATAAAATATTACGAATAAATAGTTATAAGAATTTTATTATTTACTTCGTATTTTTATAAAATCATATTTAAATCAATATATAAAGTTTTCAAATAATTCTTTCACAAGCTATTTATTAAAACTGTTAACATAGTTTATCATTAATTCGAATAAATAATTTCGAAACACAATATTGGTTTAAAACAATACAAAATTCAAATTCTATAGAATTTCCATAGAAACGATTAAATATTATTCTGATTGTATTAAGATATACCAATTTCATACATATCCTAGATAAAAACAGAAATCGAAGAAAACAAATTGTATAAAAAAATTAACCATATTGATATAATAAAAAATAATAATATCTAACAAAGTATACAAATAAAATCGATTAAAAATACTAAACATATATTATAACAATTGGTCGATTATTAAACTAATCTTAAAAAATGTAAATATGCAAATTTTTAATAATAACTGTATCGAAATATAAACACCTATGATAATTCTCATAAATAAATGAATTAAAAATAATAGATAATAAATAACGTAGCTATTCGATATAAGAATTTGTTTTCTAACATTAGTAACGCAAAATAAATAAAAGAAATAAAAAAAGAATGAACAAAAAAGTGAACAACGATAGTTAAAACCTTGTCAGTTTACTTCTCCGAGACCCTTTTTCATGGTTGTCCTTATACATACTTAAGGTAGCCAGATGGACGTTGAATTCGCTATCAGTGTGCATAAATCAGAAATTTACTTTAATTTACGCGGCCGACGTAGAAGTTAACGATCCGTGTGGCACGTATCTCGATCTAGAGAGGGCGAATTGTGGGCGTGAAGTATGCTAGTAGTAGTACAAGCCTTGGAGTCCGTACACCGAGGGCACGTGCTGCACCGGAAATTCGGTTTTGCAGGTGCACCGTTGTGATCAACGTGAATTAGTTCTCTTAGCTGAAACCGACGATCGGAAGTTCCATTAATAGAAAAGGGCAAACGATCGGTGACCAATCGTTAAGCCAGCTGTATCACGTTCCTTTCCTTCAAACACTATCATCTATGATGACTATCACAAACGTAATAGCTCTAATGATTCTTCCGTAACAATTATAATTAATTAATACACGGGAAGGGCGTATTTTACGTTTTCGATCGACCTTCTAGTACTTTTATTTTCTTTTTTCTTTTTCTTTCCTTTCCAATTAAATCGATCTTTTTTTTCTATTTTATTTTTTACTATTACGTTGACGAGAGGTCAACGACATACCTATGTGGAAAAGAATTTTATTTTATTATTAATTTTTTTATTCAACCTACCATCTCTCTCTCTCTCTATCTAACCCGTTATCTCGATGCAAGGACGCAAACAAGTAAACTCTTTTTCTAAATTAATTCAAGACACGTCCAAGAAGTAGCTGGTGTTGTTCTGTCTTCGTTTTGCAACCTCAAAAATCTCGATAAGAGGTATGATAAAAAATAGAAGTTAAAAAAAACATAATATAAATAAAGAGAAAGAGAGATATTTTTTGTTAAAAACGTACACACACACACACAAACTCGCACACGTACACACGTAGAGATTCCTCGTGCAAATATTTCTTGACGGTGAATCGAGTTAATACACAGCTAGTATATACGTGTTAATTCGCACTGCTATTCACCGTGATTCATCGCATCAGCTGATTCGTTTGGACAGGGAGAGTAAATCAAAGAGAGGAGCTTTCATGGGAACGATAACCCACACCCTCCTCCTCCTCCTCCTCCTCCTTCTCTCCCTCCTCAACCACCCTCTCACCCACTCCTTTCTTTTTCTTCTTCTTATTTCTCTTCTTTTTCTTTCTTTCTCTTTTTTCCTTCGTAAAACGCGTACATCACTTTAATTCTCTCTCTCTCTCTCTTTCTCTCTCTCTCTCTCTCTCCCTCTCTCTCTCTCCTCCACTCTTTCTTTCTTTCTTTCTCTCTCTCTTTCGCTCTCTCTTCTTCGTTTAGAGTGCGTACGAAAATAGTACGCGTGCTCGTTGCAGCAACGAGAATCGCAAGACGCAAACTCTCATGACTCGCTGACTCGCGATGGCGAATTCGATTCGTAGAAAAGCGAAACTCAGCTAATGAAAAATCGTTATTAAGTAAAATGAGGAGAATCCCTTGATAAAGAGTTTAGTATTATCGGTTTATACGAGTTTGCTCATAAAATTGGTATCCGTAATTCGTTAGGTTTAATCAACGATCGAATAAACAATATAGTAAATCTAATAAGACGATGTATTAGGTCTAATTGTTGCAACGTAGGAAACAAAAAAAGAAGAAGAAGAAGAAGCATTTTATTCAAATTGATAATTGGAAATACAAATTAGAAATTGTATTTGATAACGACTACTACGAATCGTAGCATGCTTATTGGAGAAAAACTTTAAAGAGAATTTCTATAACAATTCGAGCGAAGAAATCAAAAGAAGAAACTCTAACGAACGAACGAACGAACAACTTCAACCGACTGCACAACCAAACTAAGTGAACTTTGTACGATGCTAATTACATTCTATTGTTACCTCCCCTTGTTAAAACGAACGAGTTTGTCAGATTTCGATAGCAATTTTTCTTTTCAACTTAAGCAATTATTCAAAGAACTTTCGTTAACAGTTGCACGCATTATCGTTTATCTTCGATCTTAATTTACTCGAAATCGAAATTGATAATATCTCATGACGATTCTTCTTCTTTCTTTCTTTCTTTCTTGATCTATTAATTGCATCTTCAGTAATTTTTCCTCCTCTGTCCTTTTTCATTCTGTTCTACAGAAACGATTCAGTAATTATTCATTCTCTTAATTATCTTACACGCTCGCGTAAACATGAATTCCATCTTGATACTCCTTGACGAAAAGAAAAAGAAAAAATTAAAAAAAAAAAAAAAAAAAAAAAGAAACAATAATATATACCAACAAGAGAAATCAACGTCCGTGCTCGCTAATGGAACCTTTTATTTTTTTTTCTCAATTTTTTTTTTTTTCTTCCTTCCTATTACTGGATACGTTAGTGACATGACGTTTAAATCCGTACAGCTAGTTTTGATTTGTAACGCTCATAGGTTACGAGCACAAAGATTAACACGATAGGGCGCACGCAACAGGAAACGTCACGGCGCAGCTGCAGTAACGAAAATTATTATTCGCAACGTCAGTGTGTCGTTCGTAAAATAAGTATAGTTCTTGATTATACACCCTCTTGATACCCCCCTTCCTTCACCCGTTCTCTGTCTTCTTTACCATCTCTTTTCGTCTTCTTTCAGTATCCCTAATGAGTTCATAGATCGGTTCTAGTTAAAATGCACGATCGTATCATTCGTTTATTCCCACGCGAGTTAACCGAACGAACGATAAAATATCTTTTTAACAGGAATTCGATCTTTTCGCGAATAGCATGAATGTTTTTCTACGCCGAAAATCTTTTTCTCTTAGAATTTGTTCGATTATCATACGAAAATCGGAACGTCTAATACACATAGATCTTTAAACCGGTATCTTTAACCCCACGATATCATTCTTGAAATGAGAAAATTTACGAGTGATATACGCGTGATTTATCGCGTTATATATCTTACTTATTTCACACGAGACCGGACAGATTTTCGCGATCCATCAAGTTACAACGTTTTAAGTGATTCTTAATGGACGAACGAATTTTAGGATTCTCATGGATGAAATGACTTACGCGGAGACGCCAAGGTGGATTATGAAAAAATTTGAGGGAACGTTATTGCTCGGAAACAAAAATAAAATAACATATTTTCATCGGACAAAAATATATTCTTAAGATCTATATTCGTAGTATTCGCGATCAAAATAAATTGGATTTTATTCGTTTTATTTTTCGAACAAAATTTCGTGACAAACGTATGGAATATTTTCCCCTGTTTTCATACAAAAAAAATAACGACTTATATCACACACTCGCGAATACATTCGCGAATCGCATAACTTGCAAAATTGTGTAACGATTAAAATTAATGTTAGCAAACGACGTGTTAACGATTGACCAAAAAAAAAATTTAAATAAAAGAAAAACAAAAAAAATAGTAAAAAATATATAAAAGCTCGTAATTCCTTTTATCGTTCTTCTTCTTTTTTTTTTTTTTTTTTTTTTACATCGAAACGAGATTACATTAATTAACCCAGATATCTAGACTAAAGGTACTACGATGACGTAGAGTGTGCGCGAAATACTGAAAGATCGATGACGAGTGCAACGGAAGAGGAAACGCAGCTGCGATCGCAACGAACGTGGCGTGACAACGATTTGCAACACCAATATCGTTCATAAAACATGAATGAACCTCTCCGTGCTCGATTTTACCCTTTCATTCTCTCTCTCTCTCTCTCTCTCTCTCTTTCTCTCTCATATTTTCCTATCTCACGTAACCATGAGATACTCTCGTGCGACACGCGTCTCTCATGTCCTATCTCTCTCTCTTTCTATCTCACTCTATCTCTCTATCTATCTATCTCCATCTGCAAACGAGCTAAATATAATATTCTCGTGTATTTTCTGCGAGATGAATGAAACTATATACCTCGATATTCGTGCACTTTCTCTTGATTAAACTAATATACGATTCGTTTAATATCTTATCATTTTTGTTATCAAAAATCCAATGACATTTAATAATATTTAATAATTATTATTGTTACGCGATATATATTTTTATTCCGTAAAAGAATTCTCGATACGATTTAATGATAATTGATAATTCGTTGATGAAAAATCAACATAAAGTAATTTCGTTTAGTTAATGTTGCAATATGATTTTAATATCGCGTTACTATATACTATTAGATTTTACCTTTTCTTCAGAGATTCATTCAAATTGCATGGATATCTCGTTACTTTCAATCGAATGTTTTAGAAATAATCTCAAATTATATTTCGTGAAAAAAACCGAGTATTTACAATCTCGGAGAAAAAAGTAAACATACATTAATTCGATCGCTTCAATCGTCTTTGAAAAATCAATGATGCAATTGTTTTCCAAAGTTCATTTTCTTTTGTAATCTTGCAAAGCGTGTATACTAATGATAACGCGCGTTATCAGACGAATTTTTTTTTTTATCAAATAAATTTCTGCTTTTTAATACTTTCGTTATAAAACATAATCGATAAACAATCGACGATTGAAAAATTTTATATTTAATTTTCTATCTTCTCAGTGAATTGAATTTATCGTAAATTTTACAAACGAATTTATTCCTCTGCAAGATAAAATTACATTCTGTATATCGGCATCGTGAGTCTAACCATGTTTCAATATAATTATTTTTAGATAATATTTTAGAAACCCTAAAAAGCATTAATAAAGTTTTTCAAATTTTTTAAATAACAATAGCATTGTGGAAAAACCCACCTCCCTAGCATTAGTAAAATCTACCATGCCGATAAAGGATTAAAAAATATCTTTTCTTCAATGTAACCGTAAAAAATTAACAAATGATCGATCTATGTATTTCTTTTATTCTAATTTTATAAATTAGTTCACCAGTAATTTTTTTCTTTTACAAACATTTTAGAAGCAAAATAAGAATAGATAATCAAAAAGTCAATTAATGTCACGACAAAAATTAATGTATACGCTAAATTTCGCAACATGACATCATAGTAATCGCTGTTATAAGTTTTCCATATAAAACACATTTCATTACATTTTAATTATTAATTTAATTTGATATGGATTTCACAAAGGAGCCAACCGTTGCTTTAAAATCGTCATGAAAATCATTTTAGATTCGATTTGATTAATTACAAAGAACGTATTCACATTATTACTCAATCGAATCGCGAACTGAGCGAATTTTATAATGAGATGCAAGTAACTATCCATCGTTAATCCATTATTAACATAGTTTGAAATTCGTTCATTTTCATTGTAATTTACTTCTCTGCAATTTATCATTAAATTAAATCGCATTCATTAACATTATCTTCCACGATCCGTTACCTTTTGTTCTTCCCAAATGAAAAATAAAAAGAAACAATTTAATTTTATATCTCTTTTAGTCAAAACAATATATATTAAATATATAATTTAAAAATTATTATTATATATATTCGATTCATTAATAATTTTACGTTAGTAATTCAATAACTTTCAAAAGAATATAGCATAATGTTCGTCCCTTTTCTTTTCCAAAGATCTAATCTTCGTAAAATCTTCGAACAATGATGAACACAATGAACACGTATTATATTTAAATATTTTTTATTTCACATTGAATTTAATTATTAGAATAAGATATTATCGGTGTAAGATATTTTTTTATTTTTATCATATTAACATAAATTTACTTCAAATTTATGCTTATAAAGCATCGTAAATCTTGCTTTAATCTGTCTCTCATACGACAAAGAAATTCCAAAGGTATTGAAATGTTTTTATTGCATTGCTATTACAGAATTTCAAGGAAGGTGGTCCAGGATTGGTCGAAGAGGATAGGAGGTCATCATGGCAGTCGGTGAGTATGGCATTTTACAGTCTAACCTGGACCAAACCCCAGTAGTAGATTAGAGATTAGAGTCACGTAATTTACGCATAATCACGCGCTCAACGTATGCAACTACCGCGTATTCCGTACCATCTATCTGTCCCTTTTTTCCACCTTTCTCTCTTTTTTTCACCCATTCCCATGTATCTCTTTCTCTTTCTATTTAAATGAGAAATTCGAGGAATAGATAGATTTCCAAATGAACGTAAATAAATTCCTTTTCTTTTAACAGAATCCATTAACAGATTATAATATCTCCGTATGTTCAAAATATATTTTAACACGCATTGAACATTGTTCGTTCACATTGCTTGTCTTACGAACAAAATTTTTACAGAGTGATTGTGTTGATCTGATTTTGCCACAGAACGTTATCTATGTTTTGCTAGAAATTAAATAAATGCAGAAAAAAAATAAATAATGATTAGTAAATAATATATAAACGTTTAAAACATGCTTACATATTATAAAAAAAAAAATCTCGCAATAACGCTAGGTCGGTGTTCAATACGTTAATAATAACATTTATCTTCAATGTATAGACAATTATATTTTTGACATTACGCCTTTTTTTATGCCATTTATTTCATTTTCATTTACTCTCGGAGGAAACTTATCTTACGTCGACAGATTTTTAATCAATATCTCCGAGTTCTCAGAAAAACGAAGAGTAACCCAAGCAGCAGAAAAGGGTATGCGTTAGGCTAATCAAAAGCCAGCCGTGGTTTCTTCTTCGTTCTTCTCATGAAAAAGGCGGCCCTTTTGAAGATACCAGTAACACGACCCTTTTTCTATTCCACGAGATTTCTAATTTCCAACGTGCGACTCTTCTTAAGAAAGAAATGGGGGAAAAAAAGATAAAAAAAAAAATAAAGAAGAAGAAGAATAAAAGAAAGTGAAAAGAAGATTATAGAAAAATCCGCGTACTTTCATGGCAAAGAAAGAGAGAGAGAGAAAAATAAAAAAGGATGAAAGTAATTCGATCTATTCGAACGTTACCTTTTTACTCAATACCTATCTCTCTTTCTCTCTTCCTCTCTCTCGCGAACGTTTATATTCTTTTTTTTTTCTTTTTTACTTTACTCTACGTCTTATAAGAATCCCTACCATTCGGTGACAATTCGTAATCCTAAGACGTACGACGATACCGTTCTTGTTTCTTTATTTCTAGTCACCCCACGTAATTCTAATCTCCTACACAAATTCCTTATGGGACTCTGCAATCTTCAAATTCAACTGTGAGATTCACTAAGATACATATTTTTACATATGATAAATAATCAATCCGTTTAATATTCAACAATATTCGACAATTATTATTATTATTATTATTGTGTATTTTCCTTTTTTTTCTTTTTTAAAGAATAATATTAATATTAACTACGAGTTAACGAGCTAGTCGTGTTGAGCTACTGGTTTCTTTTTTAAATCACTAAAATCAAGCAACGTTTGGCATGGTTAATAAAATAGATGGATGACCCTTTCGAAAAAGAAAAAAAAGAAACAAAAATCGTATGCTATTGACTTTATAAACATGATAAAAAAAAGCGATCTGTTTGATAGTTGAAAAGATTGAGTAATATGAAAAGGTGCTGATAAAGAAATGACTCGAACCTGTAAAAAAGGGAGAATAAAAAGAAAAAACAAGAAGAATAATATCCACGAAATATACATATTTAAAATTGTAATCTCAATTACGTTGAAACATTGGCAACAGCATGTTTAAATTATCATTTTTAAAATCTTATTTCTTATCAAATTATTTATATACTAATTGCGCTAATTACGAATATCATCTTTACGAGAAAATTATGTACATGCTAAATCTTAATCATGACACTAACAGTAATGGCAAAAACGAGTAGCAAAACATATCCCATCTTACTACATCGTAAATTTAGCTCCTTAGGGAAGATATAAAAAGCAAAAAAAAAAAACAAAAAAAAAAGAAAAGAAAAGGACAGTAAAGGGTAGAGTAGGAAGACTATACTGCTGGAAGATGTAGTAAAAATTGGTAGGGTTTTTTCTCCCCCTCTCCCCCCTCTCCCTACCCCACCCTTCCGATCTCCCTACCTCCTCCCCAACCTACTCTTTCTCATCGTTTCCCTTACAAAGTCGATTTATCTTCAAGGAGTAACAGCGCGTGGATCGCGTTGGCGGAGGTGCATTTCCGGTGCAACCGAGTATACGTTCCTGGAGGGATACTAACGAAGCAGGGTAGTGGGGTAGGGTGGGGACCTAACGTACACAGCGTCCGGTCCATCCCTCCCCACTATACTCATTTTCTTCACTTCGTCCATAGCGTCCCATAGACAGTGGACACCATGCACTGCTATCAGAACAGTCCCAGGTGGACCCTCGCGCAGTCACTTTAATACACTCTATGTTCGGTGAATTATTTCTATGTATTCCGGCTGTACCATTTAAAAGAAAGAACTATAGAGTATTCACCTTTTGAATTATTTCATAATCGAGACTAGTGTGTGATTAATTAAAAATAATTCCTTTCTCGTTTCTTTTTGTTAATATATATATGTCATTTGTACTATGAAGAATGAACAATTTTTAATTAATCTTTTTATAATATGAAAGACAAAATTCAAATCGGACAACGTGAAAGCTAAAGTGGTAACAGTGAAGTCTTATAATAAAATACTGTTAAAGGATTCTTAGAAATTCGAATATAATTTATAATTTTACCGGATGACGTATCAATGGAATTCGATAGTCTCACGCTTGAATCGATAAAATTCAAAGATCAAAAGAAAATCAAGAAGTCAAGGAAGATTATTTTTCTTTATATTTATACTAATTATTCAAGCGTCAAATTGGTTCAATTATTTCTCTAAAGAATCTAGGTGAAATTTATAAAATATGCAAGTGACTTTATCCGTTGAGAATGAACAATAAGACTTGAATTATCTTCGATCTTGTGTTATACATATTATTCTTATAATCGAACTTTATTTACTTATTTATTGATCATACGTATAAGACAAATATCGAAATAACATTTTTATATATAATAACGATCAATGATACTTTATCTTCGTAATTAAACATTTTGTCAATTTAAAGCAGAACAATTAAAAGTTAAAAAGATAATATTTGTAAAAGATATTCTAAAATAAAAGTAATTAATACTTAAGATAAGGGTCATTAAAGTTAATTAACATCAGTGTGTCATCAACAAGATATTGAAGAACATCGAAAAATAGTTTATCGATTTATCAATTGATCATCGGAACGTTGGGTCCGTATGTTTACAGACAACCCCTCGTATTTCTCGTTGTCGGTGTCAACGTCGTCGACGGGCACGACGACGACACCATCGTCAATTTGTCCATCCTCATCGACGAATCACACGCACCGTAGACACCCTGGCTTGACGGGTCTATTTCGACGTCGGCCTACCTGCAAAATGGGTGCCACGTCTTCTACTAGCGTGACATCAGCTTCGACAGCAAGTACTTCAACAAATCATCAGGAATCATCTAGTCATCGAATTAGTGGATCCAGTGGATCAACACCGTCAACGCCAACTGAAGAAAGGGTACCTATGTTGTCTAGAAACGTAGGAAACGGTGCTACATCCGGTCCGTTTAATCAAAGAAGAAGCTTTAGAAATTTATTTAGATCCGTAAGTGCCAATGATCACGAAAGGACCCAACAATTTCTCAAAGGTGATCCTAGACCTTCGGATGTCGCACCAACTTATTTACCTCACAGGTGAATCTATTTAATTATAATTATTTATCTGGTTACCTATACGTATTTCTTTCAAAACTAATTAAATGATTATAATTATAATTATATATTTTTGTTAAAAACACTTGTAATCAATAATAATAATTCTTTACATTTCGCTACGATATAATTGTTTACCAGATATACATTATATTATGTATTAAACAAATTCGATATTTTATAACAGCTATTTTTATTATATCAATTACGTAACAATAAATATCTGATCACAGATCACATTCACACTCCGAGAACGACAGACGTCGTCCTGCTCGTAATAGACGAGTCCTCAAATCAGCTAGTGAGCTTCTTTCAAATGATATGGTTTACTGTGGACTTTCCGGTGATGGTAACGACCACGACGACGATGACGATGAAGATTCCGCGGAAGAAGTATTCCTTGGTGTTGATGATGCAAAGTTAGTCAAATATTTTCTTTATTTTTCTTTTAACAATATCATACAAAGGAACTATTGTTAATATCGTTTTTCTTTTAAATCCATTTCTAAAATTTTGCTGCACAGTCTTGTATATATATGTTACCGAGAAAGACCAAAATTAGAAAATGTCTAGATTCACATGGTCGCTTTGGTATATGTCCGAAATATTAATATATAAGAAAATACTCAAATATTCGGTGTTGCATCGACGTATTTGGTATGTATTAACATTCTCCAGTTTCGGTCTTTCACGGTATATATATTTATAATAAATCATCCCTACGTTATTTATGAAATAATTTAATAAGTCAAGTATTACAAAAGAAGTATAATTTTTCATTAATTGTAGGTATTACAATTTGTCATCAACCTTGCCGTCACCGGGATCAGCGGCGTCAGGTCAAAGAAGACACTCCGTTGGTACTTTTCTTGGAAAAGATCGAAATCATTGTCCTGGAAGAAGACCTACTCAAACAGTTGAAGTTCTAGTAGAACCTAGTGTTATGGCACCACCAATACCAACCGATGCAGTTGATGGTATCGTTCATGCCGATGACAGAAGGAACAGATCAAATGATTGCAGATTCAGGCGTAGAAGACACAGAAGTTCATCCAGTAAAGGTAAGTTTATTATTTTTTCTAGATCATATTGAGGTCATTTCATACGTTCGAGAAAATCTTGTCTTCCAAGAAATATTTCAAAGCATTCATATCTTCTATTCGTACTATTCGTGTTCTAACATAATGGAACAAAATAGAATCGTAATGGGTGATTATTTTGGAACGATTTAAAAACGACAGAAAGAGATCGACAGACCGGCATTCTATATATATATATCTTGATTAATGGTCAATGATAATTATTATTATTATTATTATTATGTACGGTCATATTCAATAGACAAGTCGCGTGTTCCCACGGCGTGCATTTTGTGAACAGCTTACCCGCATAGATCGCAATCACAATAGTCTCGTTACGCGATTGACACGCTACATAATTTGCGAGTAAGGAATTAGAAAGAGAGGGAGAGAGAAAGAGAGAATTGTCAAATTGTGTCAACGAGTTGTCCAGACTGATACGACAAACGATCAATTCTTCAGTTATGTTAACGCTCGATTTTATGAAAACGAATAATTTTCAAATTATTCATAAGCACGATGATTAGATAAAATGAACGAATTCAAAACAGTAAATGTGAAAATGAAACAGTAATATAAATAATGTATTATTTGAAAAATATTCATTGTGTACGGGAACTCTATGGATGATTTTTAATTGCAGTAGAAATGATATAGAAATTATAAAGTAAACTTTTAATATTCTTAGAAAATCAAACGTTATATTTACAAAAAAAAAAATTAATAACGAATAAAGATATATTTAAATCTTGTAAACTAATATATATATATTTCTTACAAAACTTATCTTTTTACGTAAGATATATTTATTGCATACAAGGATCATAGATCATCGTAGTAACGAGAAGATAAAGCGATCATGCAAAGGTTCGTCCTCATCTAACAAATCATTTGGAAAGAGAACGTTTGCAAATATTGCAGCTACGTTACACGGAAGCAGGTGAACACGATTAAACGATGTCGTTGAGGGACGTACCGAAAAGGTTTAACAGAAATAGAAGATTTATTATCATCTTTTCCTCTCAAAGCTAGCCGGAGTAGCTACTACTGGGAACGTATTTACTAACGTCTGAGGGTTCGCGCGATAATTCCACTTTCACGTCGCGTATTCGACTTCGAGACGCGAATCAAGATTCTTGGCTATAAGGGATATCCGGTTGATCTGCGATCAACTACACAGATTAAGAGAACTCATGAGAAGAACACAAGACAGATATAGAAAGTTAATCTTATTCTAAAAACAGTCAACATTGTTCCAAATATAAATTAACTTATATTATAAATGAAAGGTAAAATTATATTACGATCAAATTCGTAAGAAAAAGAAAACTCTCAATTAAATCATATTTAACGCTATTGGTAATATTTCCAAAAAACAAAATAAAAAAGAAAAGATATCTATAACGTTGAACCTACCGTGACAGGTTAAATAAAACCCATTGATATAGAAAATATTAACAGAGAAATACAAATTCGATAGTTTTTTAGTGTTAATTATTTCATCTCGTATATGCGAAAATAATTATTACGATGGTAGATAAAGATAACAAAATTTGTTCTTATTAATTTTATGAGAGAGAGAGATAGAATATATAATATTAAAATATAATTTTTTTAAACGTAAAAACACGATGTTCTTAATTTTTTTAACTAAATCCTCTTTCATAATTACCTGTAGACATGTATTTATAAAATATAATATTAAGTATAAAATAATGGAAAAAAAAAGATAAAGTGAAAAAGACAATTGTGTATAGATAGAACAGTAATAACGTTGGATTTAGAACGTCCCCGGAAATTCCCCCCCTTTAGTATTCGATTGTCGAAAGTCATAGCTTTTTCCGTCGACGGGACGTCGAACTTGTCCAGAGAACCATGAAGAAATGTATAAGAGAAGAGTTCGAAAATTTACGACGTTAGATAGGTTCTGTATAACGATTGGCTGCTGAAAGAAATCGGTCCCACGTGTACAAAAGCTTTTGACCTGCCCTTCCGATGGCCCTTCGCTTTGCTTGCACGTGCCGCACGTTTCGATGAGGGACCAATACTAATCGCTACTCTCTTGATCGGTAAACAACACGACACCCGTAGAATAACCATTTATTCAAGATATATAATAATTTTCACATTCAAAATATATTTCATTATTATACATATATAATAATATAATTATATATTGTATATATCATTATTTTTGTATTTAAAATAATTTATTTTAATTCTTTTTTTTTTGTTGTTTTTAATCTTCTCTCTTATAGTTACACAAATATTTTTTTATGATTTTAATGCATGCCAATTATTCAAATTAGACTAAGTTCGTACGAATACTTTTACCATAAAATCAATTTATCATAAAAAAAATTAACTATTAGTAAAAAAAAAAAAAAAAGTACAACATTTTGTTTTCCTTCGATTGAAATTCAAGCGATCAGCAATAACGGTTTTAAAAATGAGGACGTTCGATTTTTTATTCCCTCACTCTCTCTTTCGTTCTGTTTTTAATTAAAGCCGGAAATGGGCCGTGAACTTTCCTACCATACTCTCTTCGAGAATTTTTATTCCAATTTCGCTCTTCTTCTGGTAGACGCACATTGACTTTCACAGACGTATGGAAAAAAAAAAGGAAAAAAAAAACACAAGAAAAAACTTGTTTTTTTTTTATTTTTTATTAAGATAAAAAAAGGACATAGAAATTGTCTCTCTTCCTGTCAACTGTATTTGGTTAAAAATAATCGAGACGTTCGTTCCCTCGTGAATTTTTAAGACGTCCGGGGACGTCTCAAGGTCCCATCTCTCTTTTTTAAATATTCCATCTAAATATAACCAAAAGCAAAAAAAAAAAATGTGTTAAACTATGAATATTTTATTCAATACCTCCAAAATTATTACAATATATTATTTATTATTCTTTTTACAGTATTACACTGTATCAAAATGATTAATACTAATATAATATAACGATTATAATGATTCGTTCGAATTCATTTAACAGAATCGTAAATATTTTTTTACAAATTATACAAACAAACTATAACAATTATTTGTATGATGAAGAATTTTAAAAACAAAACAATACACCTTCTATCCTCCATAATTATTTATCTAACATTATTCAACGTTCACCTTATTTGGAACCTGTCGAAAGGGTTTAAAACGGTGTCAACAGAGAACGGAAGTCAACCAGTCGATTTGTTGACATTGTCAAGTCTCGTACCCTCTGCTCTCTTTCTCTTTTCTTTATTTCTTTCTTTCTTTCTTTCTCTCGACCCTGTTTTATTAGGTTCGCAGTGCTTGAACCCTACGAACGGAATAAATTGTGTACAAGAACGACGAAAGGATCGGTGCATCCGGTAAGCTGCTGCTGTTACATCCGAGGACCTATATAGTTGAAGTAGAAAGGGGAAGGGAAGTGCATCTGGGCCAGAGGATGACATTAGTAAAGAGAGAGAGAGAGGGAGAGGGAGAGAGAGAGAGAGAGAGAGAGAGAGAGAGAGAGAGAGAGAGAGAAAGACAGATGGATAGTTGTCGTTCACGAGCGACATCGTTCAAACAAATCGTCCCTCTTCTCGATTTATTTACATTGTGTAAACGTACGAGACTCTTGTGATATTTCGCACACGATCGAACGACATTTCATCACATTTTCTCTCTACTTCGCTGTTGTACCTACCACACACACATATCGTAAATCTGTCTTCCTCATAATACTCTTTCATCGAACAATAATATCATGCGAATGTAATTCTCTCGTTCGGTTTAATTCTTTTAAAATTGAATGGATACAAAATTGTTGTTTACTTTTGTTTTTACTTTTTTGTTTGTTTTTATACACGATGAAATATGTTTTAACTTATCGCGAAAAGTTACTCGTAATCGTACAATTTGATATTTTATTCAAAGTTTTTCATTCAATTGGCAATGCTACGAGAATCAACGATAATTGAGTAAATAAATGAAAAGTAAAATTTCAAACAAGTCAAAACGTATTAGTAAATTATATATGTTGTTTATTTGTGAGGGAATAAATCGTTTTATAATAAAAACAAATATATATTATTTAATGTTTTGTATTAATTTGGAAGCTGAGTAAGTGATGTGATTGATCACTCTGTACAACTTAGATTTTTATTTTCTTTACAATCGCTTGCCTCAAAGAGTTAAATGACGATTAATGATATATTTACTTGAAATTAAACATTATTCAGACAGACACGATAAACATGTATGTATATATATATATACCATTTAATCGTTTAAGAGAATTTCAGAACGTTTCTATTGTTAATGAATATTGGAATAGGATCCTACTGGTGCATAAATAAATAGATCAAATGTTGGCTTCCATTGATTATAACTACAAGCATAATAGGTTTAGTCATGTAAATAACACTTCCAATAGAACCACTTCAATGATTGCAATCAGCATTGTTTAACGCGTCTCCTAGTCAAGCATAAACTTCGATAATAGGATTTGCCGTTGTATCGATAACTCGTATACATCTAACAATGAAAACAATTTCAAATGTCGAAGATTCTCAATATTTTTAACAGATATATGTTCTTTCTTATTTTATTTTTTTTTAAATAATTCATTTACAATGACTATATTAAAATAATAAATAGATATATTATATAAAATAATCATTTTTCAAACGTTATTATAATTATCTTTGATTATACATTTTAAAAAAATTTGATTAACGATTAAATGTTGTAATAATAATTTGAACACAAAAACACAAAAATACAAATTGTATTTGAGACACGATTAGAATAGATAAAAAAAAAGATATATATATATATACCATTTAACGAGCAAAAGTGAGTAGAAAAATTAAGCATTCCATAAGCAATGCTTTTTCCATCTGCATATATATTTACCGGTTATACTTCCTGATGTCGCACGAGCACGGATTCACGATTTCCGGTGGCAGCAACTCTCCACTCTCGGTCCCGTCCGCACAACTACGCTTCCGGAAGTT